GGATCAGCGCTAACGGCGGTGGGGCGGACGGGCAGTGGTAAGGCGAAGAGGGGTGGGATGACAAGAAGTCGCACCGAGAGGGGACGCACGTCTGTTAGAAAGAGTCGCGCTCTACGAGGTTGGCGAATCCTCGCTCACCACTGCTTTTCCTCCTTTCGGCGATATTTCATCGCCTCGATCATCCTCCCTTCCATACCACCCCGCCCCACATCTCGTCACTGCCCACCGACGTTTCAGCTATTCGAACACTCGCTGAGCATGGTATTTCTGATAATTGCTGAAAAGTGGGACTTGGCTGGTACGTCGCACTCTGGAAAAATCGTTCGCGTTCTAGAAAATCACCGAAATTCCAGAACGTTCTTTTTCATCGAGCAACGCCCGAACGCATTGTTTACCTCGTAAAAGTAGTTTTATTTGCGTTCGGTTTGCTTATGATTGCTGCTTCGGCCATATCCACTCGTCATGCCTGATAACAATAACAATTACATATCCCTACTACGTTAAATATACACACATATATAATGATTGCGTTATCACGGGGTTGCGACCAACATAAACTTGACATTGAATCGAGCCACTTTCTTAACCTCGTCATTATTATTATTATTCTTATTATTATTATTATTATTATTATTATTATTATTATTATTATTATTGCTATGATTATGATTATTATTATGGTTGTGGTCGTTGTTGCGTAATGGAATGATTTATAATCACGAGCCAATATTGTTGCGTATAAAGTATTGTCGTATTTTTTAAAAATTTTGAACATTAATAAATTATTGATGGGGTCGGCAATTGACAAGGAGATTAATTTATTTGTAGCACAAATATCCTGCCCAATTTCGTTACAATGAAAATTCCAGTTTCCACACTCCAGTATTAATTTCACATCATAATTAGCCAATTAAATTCGTAAGCAAATTAAATGCAATGAAAGAAAAAGAAAATTGATAGCTCTAAAATGCTTTAGAAATGTTTTCATAAAGTCATTAAATAAATGTTATTTCGTATCATCCAATATTAAAGTTAAATAATACATTTGCTTAGATTAGAAAAAGTAAAGCTCGTACGCAAGGATAAATAAGTTGACATTACCGTGAATTATGTTACTTCGCCTTATGTTGCCGAATCTCAAATAATCATTACATGTCGACATTCTTAAGTTTCCGCATTCTTTCTACGCTTATGAATTTGATAAAATTTGCCAAACACGAGATTTCGAAAGTCTTAACAACGCCGAAAGTTGTCGATCCAATCGATAATACGCGTTGGCTTCGTGAAACGCTTAGGCAAGATAAACTTGAACTTGACGCCCAACGCGTCTATAAACATCGAAGCATATTCGATAAGAACGAAGGCATTGAGTGATTTTAAAAAATTTGCAGAGGTTGAATATCGCGTCGGCAGCACGAGAGTAATTGCGCAATACTAGGAGCGCCAAAGCGTTCGATAAATCTCAACGAGCTGTGTTAAACGTGAGGCGTTATTGTCCGCTATTATTCCATAGCCGTAACGAAAGATCGCCGTTACGAATCGACTCGTCAAAATAACAATGAAACTCGCTGTCCGTGTGGACGAGCTAATTTATAAGCAGGTGTACCTTAGTTGCCGAGGGACACACTTACGGAGGCAAATAGACGAGGCCGAGGAGAATGGAGAGCAAGCGGGAGGCTCGCGCGAGGGCGGGTGGAGCCCCCTCCCCCCGCCCCGCCAAAAAAGTACTCTCATTTTCACTGGACGCGCATGCGCTAATTCGTAACGGCGGCGGCAGTGGTAGTGTTGGTGATGGTGGTGGTGGATGGTGATAGTGGTGGTGGTAGCGGTGGTGATGGTGGCGGTGGTGGTGGTGGCGGTGGTAGCGGTGGTGGCGGTGGTGGCGAGGGCAGCGACGATTTCGTCGGCGTTCAATGCGTCGGCCGCGCGGTCGGGGTCGACGACACCGGCGGGGCTCGCGACCGGGGCGGTGAGAACGCCTCGCGTCCACGGGAAAATCGGCTGCGGCGCCAAGGGATAAGATCAACGACCCCGGTCCGCGCGTATCTGGGTTAGTAGTCTCGTCGTCGTTGCCGCCGCCGCCGCCGCCGCCGCCGACGCCGACGCTGCCGCCGCCGCCGCCATCGCCATCGCCATCGCCATTGCCACCGATTTGCGCTCGCACGCGGAAATTCTTCTCTAACGAGCTCCACAGCCGCCTTCTTCTCTCTTTC